TCCTTTATTTATTTTTTCCTTTTGTTATATAATTTAAAAAAACTAATAGAGTAATTTTTCCCTTATTTGTTACATATTTTTCTTTTTTTCCATATCAATTATCAAAAAAGTAATCTATATAGTATATCTTATTTATCTTTTTCTTTATATATATATATATATATATATATATATATATATATATATATATATAAAATATATGTATTACTGTAAATATTTCTAGCACATATGATCCAAAATTATATATCATTATAAAAAGATGGTATTTTAGTATAATAAAATGGCATATTAGTATTTAATGGTATTATAAAATACTTATCATAATAGTATACCAAAACTGCATATAAATATACCAAATTGGTATATTACTATATTATGTCTTCTGATACCTACTTCTTATTCAATTAATATTATTTTTATGAAACTCCATCAAAAATTTATTTAAGAAAACATTTGCTAGGACTTAGTTGAAAAAATTTAAAAAACTTACAAAATGACTTATTTATTATGGTATACTGTTTTATTATATAGTATACTACAACTGTATAATGTTACTATAACCATGACTTTAGATTTATACAATAGCACCTAGATGATTCAACAAACAGCAGTCGAAGTATACTATTATGGCATATTGTATACTATTACAGCATACTGTTGCAGTATATTGCATATTATTATAATATACCATTATAGTATATTGTATACCATAACAGTATACTATTGCAGTATATCTATATACTCCTATAGTATATTGTATACCATAGCCGTATACTATTGGGTAATTGTGTTCTTCGACTATTACAGTATATCATTGCAGTATAGCTATATACTCTTATAGTATATTTGTATACCGTAACGGTATACTATTGGATAACTGCATTTTTCTTTGAATTTCAGCTGAAAAGTTCGATCTCAATCACCTCAGATCAGCTCCAAATGAGATCAAATTTCAGTAAAAACTTCCAGAAGGCACTATAAGCAATATTTAATAACACCCACTTTGAATCAAACAAGAAATCTTCAAAATAAAATTTTTAAATTCAAGAGTTTCTAGCCCAACAATGGTGGATATTCAAATACACACAAAAATCAGATCTGGGAAGCTTAATATATAACCACAACAATACATGGGTTCAGAAATACAAATAAATACACAAAAAAGAATATACTAATATAGAAAGAGGATTCTGGAGTGAAACACAGGTAAAATAATATGAAAACTTGTCTTTTAAAATTTATATAGAAAATTCTAAAAGAAAAATTAGGTAAATACACGGGTATGTACTGGATTTTCAATATCCACTAAAAAGACTAAGCTATAGGTGTTTTTTGAAAGGGGAAAGGAACGTCTGGGTTGTGGGACACTTTTTATTTAGAGAAATTAAAAAGGGAAAGGGGGTTGGGTGCGGGTAAATAGTTTAGGCCATATAGGTAGGAAAAGTAAATTCTTTGGGCTTAGGTATGAAAGGGTAAATAGTTTGGACTTAATGGGTATAAAGTGAGATTTTCCCTATAATAAATTAGTATTTGCTAGAACATAAGCCCTTGGCCTTTACGTGCTTAATGTGGTTCGTTATATTCCTGAAACAAGGTTATTTTTCATCTAGGATACCATTTTAAAGGGGAGAAATTCAAAAATAGCCAGATTTACCACTGGTCGTTGAAAAATAGCCAAGTTTCAAAAGTCATCGAAATTTAGCCACTTTAAGTCTGAGCGAAAACACTGTTCAAAATCCGGAAAAATACGCCCGCAAATTTTACGGGAGTTCCAGCATAAGTATGTTTGAACTCCCGTAAATTTTACGGGAGTTCCAGGATAACTATGCTGGAACTCCCGCAAATTTTACGGGAGTTCAAGCATAATTATGCTGGAACTCCCGCAAATTTTACGGGAGTTCCAGCAAGTATAATTGTCCAGTATAATATACTGGAGTTTGGAGCACTGGTGCTCCAGTCTCCCGCAAATTTTACAGGAGTTAGCAAAGTATACCGGTCCAGCATAATATGTTGGAGTTCTCCCATATATTATACTGGACAGGTCCCTGTTGCAGCAAAATAGTGGCTATTTTTCATTGACTTGATAAACGCTGGCTATTTTTCATTGACCAGTGTGAAAACTGGCTATACCATGATATTTTAACATTTTAAAGCTAATTACTAACCTTGGTAATTGACTTTAACGTTTAGCTAGGTTCAGTATTGTAACTTGCATTATTCTTTCATAACCACCATTTTAGGATTGTTTCCTAGACCAAACAGAAGCCATACATGATACAAGTTACAATAATGAACCTAAACGTTAAAGTTAATTACCACATAAATTAAGTTTTTTTGTGCCTTTTTTCTTTTTTCGTAGGGTTTGTTTCTATTTAAATTGTTTGATTGCTTATACTTGCAACAAATTTTCCTTCATGATTGTATCGTTATCACTATAACTTAATAGGTTATAACATGTTATTATTCTATTTGTCAAGTAATTATATTAGATTTATTGCGAAGATTTATCTATTATATATGTAGAGATCTCAAACGTTCACAATTCCAAGGTTACACGTATGGGTGTTCATGGTTCGGTTTGGATCGATTTTTCCCTAAAAAGAAACCAAACCAAGTAAGTCGGTTTTTTAAATATTAGAACCAAACCAAACCAATTAAGTCGGTTTTTTCTCGATTCGGTTTATGTCGGGTTTTGTCGATTTTTCGGTTTTTTTGGTTATTTGTCGGTTTTTTCTTAAATATAAGACATACACTACAAAACACATATATTCAGGCGACCACATTTTCAACGTAACACTATCAAATCAATTGCCCTTTGAGAAATCTATTATTTACTAAAATATATTGATGATAATTGAATCAAATAGTGATGAATAATTTAAGGACTCAATAAAAAATATATTTTTTTAACATGAAGTGGATTCTTTCACTTAACAAAAGAAAACTACCAATCAAACTAGAATTTAAAGGTAAAAAAAATGTACTAAAAGTGCAAACGATTAACATTCACCATAAAATTTTTGAAACTTTGTATAAAAATATACATATATATAGGTGTAATAATAAAATAGTCGGTTTGATTCGTTTTTTTTTTTCGGTTATTTTTGATTGAAATCAAAACCAAACCAAATTTGATCGGTTTTTAAAATTCAAAATCAAAACCAAACCAAACCAAAAAGTATCGATTTTTTTGGTCGGTTTGGTTTGATTCTCGGTTTGGTTTGGTTTTTCGGATTTTTATGAACACCCCTAGTTACGCGCCTTGATATTATGCGCATTCGAAAATGTAGGTGGTCTTTTCTTTCTAGTAAGATGTGGATTTAACGAAGTTGTAGTATTGTCCAAAAATGATACATCCTATGGTTCTCTCACATTATAAGCCATGTGAATCATGCGTTTAATTTGTACTAGAAATCCCAAACCTTTTTGTTCCTAACGTCAAGTTTAAATGGAAAATCTCATTTGCGGTTGAGATGTCCAAGCTGATCAATTAGGTTAATTTCTAGAATGATGGCTGTAAGGCCGTACGTACTATTCCGTAAATATCTCTTTTAGAATGAAAGTAACACCCTTCTGTCATATATTTACTACTATAGTTGCAACATTATATTATATATTGAAAAAACTCTATAATTGTCGCTACATGTCAATAATATTTGCTACAAAATAGATCTGAAAATACAAGTTAGCAAATCGGCGCGCACAGAAGGCTAAATACATCAATGCATCGAATTCCGTGTTTAAGTTATGGGCAGAATACATAACTGAACCCTTCCTTTTTTGTCATTTGGACACTTAAACATAGAGTTGTTCCTATCAGGCCCTTCAACTAAACCACATCTGGGCCAATTAGACACTTTGTAGACCATCTGAGAAAAACTTTTATAAAAATTAAATGCGTATATTACAGTTGCCTCTAACACCTTAAAATATTCCACCTTACAGAATTAACCCCCAAAACAAATTGAAACTCATTTTCAGAAAATGAAAAACCTGACCGTCGGCTTTGGCGACTTAGTGCCTTAAAAAACTCACTGAAAATTTCCTACGTTCAACCTCATCTCACTTCTTGTTGTTTCGATTTCACTGAAATATCACGCTATTCTCTATATTCCTCGTCTAAGTTGGTGTAGCTTATAAGTGCCGTGTAAAGAGAACAAGCATGCCAAATGAGAATAGTCAAATTCATGTACACTAAACTTTCTTTTTTTTTTAAAAAAAAAAACTAAGAGGAAAAATGATGGGTTCACGGGAAGAAGAAGAGAAATAGAATGTAGCGTAAAAGTTAGCTTTAATTGGAATAGTATATTACAATATAATAATCAATAACCTTTTTCTCATATTCACGCGCCGTACCCCATGCACTCAATCATGTCACTACAAAGTGTCTAATTGGCACAAATATGATTTAGTTGAAGGGCCTGATAGGAACAACTCTATGTTTAAGTGTTCAAGTGACAAAAAAGGCAAAGTTTAAAGGTCCAGTTATGTATTCGCCCTAAGTTATGTGTGTGAAATATATACACAAGGTGAGGCTACTATAAAGCTAGCTATATGTAACATTATTATATAGTAAGCATTAATTACAATGAAAATGTAAAAGAAAACCGACATGATGTCTTGGCGTACTATAATTATTATTGTATGTGAAAAAAAAACCTTACTAAACCCTGATACATGCCTACTGGAATTTAACAGTGTTCATTATCTACAATGTCAAATCAAAGCCATCTTTACTTGAACTGACGTGTGGTTTGTCCTTTAGTTCTTAACTTGACTTGCATGTCTTACTATGCCGGCCGTTCTATTCAAAAATTAAATTAATGGCCTAAAGTTGAGAACCTGTGACCATTTCTTTGTACGTACATTTTATTGGCCAACTTCTCCCTTCAAATACAACATATTCACCACCCCATTAATCCTCCTCATCTACTTCTCATCTTACTCAATTTTGTTTCATGATCCTCTAAAACATTTTGTTCATATATAAATTTGTCAACATGTTGAAAGGAGGGTCTGAAGTAATTCATCAAAATGGTGCTCTTGATCATATTATACAACAATCCAATGAACAATGGGATTATGCTAGTTTTGTTGGTTTTCCTGGAATTACCTCTGCCCCTAGTTATCCCTCTAAGCCAATCACCGAAAATCGCGGCAATAATCCTGAAAGAAATGAACTTTCCCGGTGGGTTGAGCATGTGACAAGGCAACTTATTGAAGATTTGCCAGAAAATGAAACCCAAGCCATGACATATCAGGACAACATTGTCCCTGCACTATTGGGAGAGTTGAGGCCTAAAAAAGTTGCGCGAAGAAACTCTTCTGAGAACCTTGGACAACAACATCAATGGAACTCTCATGATCTCGCGACAGATGAAAATAATATGAACAGAAATGAGACGGGAGCTAAAGGAATGAATGGACTAGATGATCAAGGATTAAACTTGATAACTCATCTTTTGGAATGTGCAGTTGCTATATCAGTAGATAACTTGGGAGAAGCTCATAGAATGTTGCTTGAGCTAACACAAATGGCATCCCCCTATGGACCATCTTGTGCTGAGAGAGTAGTGGCTTACTTTGCAAAAGCAATGGCTAGTAGAGTCATCAATTCATGGCTAGGAATATGTTCTCCTTTGATCAATTACAAGAGTATCCATTGTGCATTTCAAGTCTTTAACAACATCTCACCATTCATAAAATTTGCACATTTCACATCCAACCAAGCAATTCTTGAAGCATTCCATCGTCGAGACAGAGTCCATATCATCGATGTGGATATCATGCAAGGTCTACAATGGCCGGCTCTGTTTCATATCCTCGCCACTCGGATAGAAGGTCCTTCACATGTTACAATGACAGGAATGGGGACATCAATGGAACTCTTGGTTGAGACAGGGAAACAGCTTTCCTGTTTCGCCAAACGCCTTGGCATGTCCTTTGAGTTCCATCCAATTGGGAAGAAAATAGGGGAGATTGATATATCCATGTTGCAAATTAGGAGAGGAGAGGCTATAGCCATACATTGGCTACAACATTCCTTGTATGATGCCACTGGCCCTGATTGGAAAACAATGAGACTTCTCCAAGAACTATCGCCAAGAGTTATCACACTAGTCGAACAAGAAATACCACTAGGGGGTAGTTTCTTGGATCGATTCGTGGGATCCCTCCATTACTACTCCACGATATTCGACTCGTTGGGAGCTTTCTTGCAAAGTGATGATTCGAGCAGGCATAGTGTTGAACATGGCCTGCTTTACAGAGAAATCAATAACATATTAGCCATTGGAGGGCCAGCAAGAAATGGGGAGGATAAATTTAAGCATTGGAGAAGTGAACTGTCAAGAAATGGGTTCATGCAAGTGCCAATGAGTACAAATGCAATGGCTCAAGCTCAATTGATATTGAATATGTTCCCACCAGTTCATGGTTATAGCTTAGTGCAAGGTGATGGAACATTAAAGTTAGGGTGGAAGGATACTAGTTTGTATACTGCATCTGCATCTGCATGGACTTCTCCAAATTCTAGATAGATAAATTTGGACTTTAAGAATTGTTTAGATAATTGGTCTTATCTTTTGTGGTGGTTTAGACTTTAGAACATGTCACCTAATCTAACACTTAATTTCCTACTACTTTTATATATATCATCATCAACTGCTACATGTCTGTAGTAACTACTGTTAGACTGACTTAACTGTTAGAATAAACCGAGGGGCGAGAACAATGAGTCGTGTACCTTATTGAAGCAGCGGAAACCGTTGAACTCACTAGGAAACAAAGTGTATTCCCACAAACTAAATGCCTCTTTATCTATGTGTGTATTTTTATTTGGAGAAGAAAGAAGAAGAGAAGTTCCTTCAAGAAGGAGAAGTACGTTACTTCTTGGGCATATTGAGAAAATTATTTTTTTTCCAGATTTTTCCCACACCTCTATACGTTAATTACCCCACTATTAACAGTGATTGTATTGTTTTAAACTGCAACTTCCCTGTAACCTTCCAATCTTATCCTCTTTCTAAACGGATTGGGTCAGTCCACATGGGCGACCCGTAACTTAAAACCCAATATCCTACATCTCCCACTTCGCACATGGTGGACTAGATCCAAGCTAGTACCATGGCAATAATACATGTAATTCATACTAGCAAATAGTTTGTGCGACCTGCGAGCATTAAGAACTATAATATTCTTAAACCCTTTAAGGTTTCTTAACAGCTCAATGTAAAAAATCAATCACATAAGGAAAGGATTTACTACTACCATGAGGATCTTATTATTACTCGCAATACCCCAGACATCATACGTTATTCTAGTAGCTACTGTCACGACCCAAACCGATGGGCCGCGACGGGCACCCGGTACCTTACTCAATCGAGTACCAACGTAACTTATCTTTCTTATTACATCATCATATACATGTGACATACAGGCCTAATAGGCCAACATAATCAATTATAAACTCAAAACATAGGCCGACAAGGCCGTACAATCTTTCACGTACACGACATATGTATACAAGCCTCTAAGAGTACATAAATGTCATAAAGGTCGGGACAGAGTCCCGCCATACCAAACAATACACGTCTAAATCATACTAACCAAACAAGCAACTCCGAAGCAAATGGAGCGCACCAACATCTTCCGCTGAGCTGATAGCCTACTTGGAGGGCTCTCGACCTGTCTATCAGAACATGCGGACATGAAACGTAGCGTCCCCAGGCAGAAGGGACGTTAGTACGAAAAAATGTACCGAGTATATAAGGCAATATACTGAAGCTGAAACTGAACTGATAATATAATAACCGAAAGTAATTGGAAGTCAAAGATGATCTGAAGATATGCTTACCTGCTGATACTGACTCAACTCTCTCAATATAGTAAGTAAAATAGTTGTCCGGCCCTATAAGGCTCGGTATATATATAACTGCTCTGCCGTAGTAGGCTCGCTCATAGGCGCTCGACCATACTGGGATCTGTATCTCGACCAACTGGGCTCGCTCATATGCGCTCAGCCACAGTAGGATCGGTATATAACTTACCATCTGATCAGAGGTTGCCCAATAGGGGCCTGCCCATCGATTATAGCTCGATGGTAATGAAAATACTGTAATACTGTATATATAGGCTCTCTGCTCTCTTGACTGAAATAAGACAATACTCAATTGAATATGAAGTCTCGATAAGGGAAAATACTGTAACTTATGAGACTAGGAAATGTACATAAATTCAGGAATATGAATTTCTCTTTATGCCTCGTTATCAAACTCGAGTAATTACGAGATCATGCCAAAATGAAAGAAGGACTTAGCCTTAACATACCTGTTCCTGAAATTATTTGAACGAATCTGCTTCTGCGAAATATGGATGAAATTTCTGCTTGAAATCTTGAAACGAAATTTGGACGAATTTTTGACAGAATGAGATGTAATTGGAACGAATTTCTTGACTTAAATTATTTGAAATGAAACGTTTCTGCTTCTGAAATTGGAACCAACCTTTGCTATGAATTTTTGAATGTTGGATGAAATGATACTGTTTCTAACTTCCTTGGTTTGAAAACCAAATACAGAAATGTGCCCTTTTTTATCTAATGAATTGCTTATTAAGTTTCCTTGAAATTTTGAAAGGAGTAACGTTGCTGGTTCTTTGAAACTTTGGAAGGAATACGTTTTTGATTTTGAAAGGAATACGTTTTGGTTCCTGGGAATTTTGGAGAGGAGTAGGTTCTTTTGTTCCTTGGAATTTTGATTCATATGGGATTGTATAACCAGACAATTCACTATTTAGGATAGTTATCCATGCCATACTTTTTTTTGTCTAGGTGGCAGCATAAGTGACTACTTAGACTTTCAATCTTGTGGCTTCTTGCCGCGTGGGGTGGGGGTGGGATATTAATTTTTTTTATCTACTTATTAGTTAGCTGGGTAATATCCTATTATCCGGTAATTAATCAATTACCCGCATAATTTAAAAATTACCACAAATTACTTAAGATTTTTTTCAAAAATACTTCATATATACTTTATATATTATATCACCGTGGTCATATGGTACCTTGGATGGTACTAATTCATAATTATCGGATATTATCGCTCGACCCGTATTTTATTCCAAATTGACCACTTTCAACGAAACTCGTTTTCTTTAATCCGTGTACCCCCTTATTCTTCATAACACTTATTTATCGCTTGCTATAAATAGCGTAAGTACGTTAACGTCAAGATTATCTCATCCCCGAGTCTACGTCGGTTAACTGAAAATGAAATTTTAACGTACGAAAATCGCGAGATGTAACAGCTACTTATTCGATCCCTCATCCTCGAAAGAGACAAACTCGAGTTCTCATATAACATTGTATCATTAATTACACTCAATATCCTCATGGCGGGTGTAATGGTCGACCTATGAATACAAGTTAAATTACTAAAATTTAGTCGTCTTTCCTTTCTACTCGAATCTTTTCATTCCAAATCAACTGCTTTTCTAGACATACACCGCATTGCCGAATCACTCACGGCTATTAGTGATATGCTAAAGTAGCAACACCGATTGACATTTCAAGAAACAGTAAAAGGTCAAAGGGTATTCCAATAAAAGATAATGTAACCTTTTTTTGGGATCTCACACGATGAAGAAGCAGAGATTCATTCTTCTATTATCCCATTGGTCGCTAGCACACGTGGTATGAAACACATGTTACGGTGTTCTCACCTTATATTGGCGCGTGTTTCTCATTCTTTTAATCATTCAACACCGTACAGATCTTGGTCTAGACACCTTCAAGTGTCTAACCTGAGTTTCTTACTTCAATTATCCTCAAACCATCTTCTTAGAGAAACTCGCATCTAGCTTACAAAACAAGTCATAATCGAATAGTAAAATTCGTAAGTTGTCAAGAATGACCTCTACAAGTAAATATAACCCCTCTTTATCCAAGGTTCTATAAGGTCTCATCTCTTCACGATTCTTAATGTAAGAGGCGATTGCTCGTGTGAGAGAGCTAATCTCGTGACTTGTTCGACACACTTTATCAACAAAACATTCATCACATGCATATGAGATATAAGCATAATTCAAGAGTCAAATATTGATAAGCATTTTATAATACTAAAGTCATTTTTATAATACATAAATATGTTCATATACTTCGCAAACCTAGAGCCATAACATGTTTCATAAACAGGTCTCCGGATATCGCCTTTGTAAAAGGATCAGCTATCATGCTTCGGGTAGGAATGTACTGTAAATTTATCTCTCCACTTGCTACCATGTCTCTTACAAAGTTATACTTGATGTCAACGTGTTTGGTCTTGCTGTGATACTTGGGATATTTTGTATATGCAACAGCCGCTTGACTATCACAATATAGAGTCATGGGACCCTGAGAGTTCTTTGTAATATCCAAATGCTCAAAGAATCTCTTCAACCAAACAGCTTCTTGTACTGCAGACGCACAAGCCACGTGATAGAATATATGAGTCCACCAAACTATATAGAGACCAGGTCCTCTATAGGTTTCCACTGGTAGTACTAATGAAACAGTAAGTAAATGGAACAGGGAACTTTTACGTGGAAAAATCCCTGCTCAAGGGGATAAAAACCCACGACCTACACTGGTAGGATTTCAACTTCACTATGAGCAACTTTAGATTACAACCTATGCAATCTAGGAATTAAACTCTTAATTCGTCACTAACTTGTAATACACCTATTACAAGCCACTTTGTAATACACTTATTACAGAGACTTCAACTCATGACTAACTCTAGTCACGAAACAAACACTAAAGGTTTATGGTTTACAATGGGTTTCTAATTAAAGCTTCTAGATAAGCAAAGTAAGAATTACAATGAAGAACAATTACAAAGTTACAACTCAACTAAGGACATACGGGATACTTGTTGTAGGAACTGGTCCGTAGTAATGTTGTACTTTGTTCTTGATGCACCTTGAGAATTGAATGTTTGACAGATAAACGGTTCAAGTGCTTGAATGAATTCTCAAGTGTTCAAGCGATGTTTCGTTGTAATGCTCTTTGTTAATACAACTTAGATGACATCACTTGAATGATGTAATCACTTGGTTGGTCAAAGGGGAGTGACTGTTGTACTGTGATGCACTATTTGCGTGTACAGTGCAGGCCCTCACTTTCCAGCTGTAGACTTGACTTCGTACTTCTATCAGGGAAACACAAAGGGATCAAGTTCCTGTGTTGATTCTTTTATCTTCTGAAGTCATAGCAACTCACATTAGCTCGAGTCAATTGATTGAGTTGTGTACCAAGTGTGTCAGGTCCCTTATCTGGTTCTTTGACAGTAAGTTTATTAGATCATCAAAATATAAAGCTAAGGTACTGTAAACCCATCAATTTTCCCCTTTTTGATGATGACAGACTTAGAAATTGATAACCCACATGCAGAGCAAAAGAAACCAGATGAAGTAACAGGAACTTCACATGTTCCCCCTGACTTTATGCTTCCCCCTTAATCAGATCCCCTGTTTTCAATTGTATTCCCCCTTTTGGCATCAT